AGCGCTCGCTCGGCGCCTCGGGGGTGAGTTCTGAGAACGCCCGTGACTTCGCACGTGTGAGCCCGCGTTGCTGTGCGTCTTTTCACAGGCCCATCCAAGCCAGATTGCTGGCCCTTTCTGGTCCTGGTGGAGGTAGAGGACGTGGTAGTCTATTGCTGAGGTAAGATTTCTTAGAACCCGTGACTTTTTTTTTTTTTTTTAGTTTTGGTGTTGGGACTCGAACTCAGGACCTTGCTCTTGCCAGGCTGGCTCTTGTGCCGCTGAACTGTATCCCCAGCCCCTAAGCCTTCACTCCTGTTAAAACTGTTGGCCACATTTATGTTAACCTGCTGGTTTTAAAATAAAAATCTGTTGTAGGAAGGAGCCACGATAGAGCTAACGTTAGAGTAACAAATGCATGTGTTCATTTTGTTTTATGCAGACGTTTATGTGCTAGTTGTCAATGTAAATATAATTTCTTGGAGCTTTACGTGCCTTCTTCGGTACCAGGAAACAAACCCTCAGCGGGCCTCTGGCCCGCTGGGCAAAAGCCAAACCTCTCAGCTACATCCCCAGCTTTATGAAGAGTATTTTACCTGTACCATTTTGCATCAACTCAGTTGTGTTTTTAAAAATACCGTAAAAGCTTTTTTTTTTTCTTTTTGAGATGTAGAGATGGAGCTTGGTGGTAGAGTGTTTGACACAGGCTATGTTGTGAGTTCACTTCCTGGGGCCAAAAAAATAAAAAGGAACTAAGGTTTTTGAAGTGAATACCTATGTAAAGTTACTTCATTTGGAAGATGTTAGTCAACTAAGTTCTTCTGCAAAGTGGACATGCTTTATCTTACATTTCAAATGCCTTCTGATGAATATTTTTAATTGCAGGCGTGGATTCTCAGATAGTGGAGGAGGACCCCCAGCCAAACAGAGAGACCTTGAAGGGGCAGTCAGTAGGTATGTTTTGCAGGAGGAAAATGTTCCCGAAGGCATCCTTGTATTATGTGGAGTAGTACACAAATACAAATATTTTATAAGTATGGTTGGATTGAGGGGCTTTTTTTGTTTTTTTGTTTTGTTTTTTATCTTTTTGAGATGGGGTCTCACTGTGCAGTTCAGGCTGCTCTTAAACTCACTACATAGCCCAGCCTAGCACTGACCCTGCAGTAATCCTCCTGCCTCAGCCTCCTGAGTGCTGGAATTGCAGGTGTGCACCACTACACGCGGCAGGTTGAGTTACATTAGAATTTAGTACAGGACCTTTTTCCCACGGGGAGGGTTCTTTGATATTTGTCTGAAGTGAGACAGCCTCCCCCAAAACTCAGTTATTTTGATATCCAAAATTTTATCAGTGTAAGGATCATTAAAAAATCTGTCAATTTGTACCACTTTTTCTCTTTTGTAGTACTTTGAAAACTTAGCCAGCTGGGCGTGGTGGCACACACCTGTAATCGCAGCACTCTGGAGGCTGAGGCAGGAGGATCCTTGAGTTTGGGACCAGCCTGGGCTACAAAGTGAGCTCAAGGCCAGCCTGAACTTCATAGTGAGACTGTCTCAAAAAAACAAAACAAAACAAAAAACTTAACTAGCCTGAGAAATATTTAGACTTATAGGAGTACAAAGTTTGGTTTGGGCTTTAGTTACTGTTTTATCCTTTGCTACCATAGGAAATAGTGAAAATGAACACTGGTGGCACGTACCTGTAATCTCAACACTTGGGCAGCTGAGGTAGGAGGATTGCACAAGTTTGAGGCCAGCATGGGCCAGAACATAGTGAGTTCAAGGCCAGTCTAAACTACATAGCCAAGACCCTGTCTCAAAAAAACAACAGAAAAAAGTAAGATGAGGTGGATACTGATAGAATGAGGTTTCTGGAGGGGGTCTTAGAGAAAGTAAGGATTTGCATTTGGTGTGAAGTTAACCTCAAATTCTGCAGCAGATATTTAAATTACTTTTTCTGTGACAGGCTGGGCGGAGAGAGTCGGACAAGAAGAGAATCACGCCAAGAAAGCGATCCAGAGGATGATGATGTGAAAAAGGTACAAAGATTTTAATAAAAGAATGTACTAGAAGTTGGGTGTGGTGGTGCAACCCTGTAATCCCAGCATTCAGGAGGCTGGGGCAGGAGGATTGCTGAGTTTGAGGCCAGCCTTGGCCATAAAGTGAGCTCAAGGCCCATCTGTACTGCATAACGAAACCCTGTCTCAAAAAGACAAAAATTTTTTTTAAAATAAAAAGTATTTAATAGAAATATAAACACTATATTATCTTTCCCTTACCATATGTAAAAATCTGCCACCTGTATACTAGTTGAATTACTGGAATTTTCTTTTCTTTTGTAGCCAGCATTGCAGTCTTCAGTTGTAGCTACCTCCAAAGAGCGTACACGTAGAGACCTTATCCAGGATCAAAATATGGATGAAAAGGGAAAGCAAAGGTATGTGTAGACAGTCTCTCATGGAAAAATCTGCCAAATAAGAAAAGTTACAGTGTTTATATATACCTTTGCTATTTCTTAGAAGATGGCAGGTGAAATGAAATGCGTTTTATTAAAATTGATCTTTATTTTTCTCTTAGGAACCGGCGAATATTTGGCTTGTTGATGGGTACTCTTCAAAAATTTAAACAAGAATCCACTGTTGCTACTGAAAGGGTACTTATGCATTTTATTTATTTAAGTGTACACATGCAATTGTTAATTTCGTGGTAGTGGAAATAGAACCTGGGGCCACTGTCATGCTACGAAAGCTCCTTTATCACTAAGTTATGTTGTCAGGTCCAGTTTAAAAGAGTTTAAAAGCTCTCCTAAGACTTAATTGCAAAGCAAAAATAAAGCCAGATAAAATTTTACATAGAAACTTGGAAGTTGTTACATTTTCAACTGTTTCTTGAGTTGTATATTGAGTGAATGAACTTCTTTATGTGGCACAAAGAGCCCTGGTCTGTACATCTTGAGAATTTTGTTCAAGCTCTTTAAGCACATCACTGTGTAGGCTTAGACAAGTCTATTTCTTTAGGTCTGAGTGTTCCTTTTAAACAGACTTTGATCTTGCAATTAGGTGAGTGATTCTAATATTTCAGACTTCAGTACACATGCTGAGGCAGTATTTAGCACTCTGGAAGTACAAGTGTTAGATATTCCCTGACCTTCACGGTGTAACTGACCTCTGCAAAGTAATTTCGTTTTTTGATGAAGCTATAAAATTGCATCTAGGAATTGAACCACAGGTATGCGTCTAGAGACTTATACTAAGAGATAATTTGATTATAGGAGATTGATTAAATATTTCAGCACTTGTATGTTAATGCAGAATAAAAATATGTTAATGTTTGAAGAATTGGATAGTTTTTATATAGGGAAGTATGACTAATAGGCCTTTTGATTTGGAAAGAATAACTGAAAATAGTGTGCCACAGCACCCTTTTTGATGTTAACTTCTGTGAAAACTTACTGAAATTTAAAGGTGGAGTGGTTGTTTTTGTGACTCATGGCCTTGAAGTGTAGATAATGAAAAGGCCAGTGTTCTGCCACTGTGTTCCCTCTTGTGTGGTGGCCCGCTCTCATGCTACAGGGTGTGCATTTCCTACTTCACTTGGCCCCAGCTTGCTCTGCAGAGCCTTTTGCCTACCTTTGATAAAATTTTGTTACTGTTCCAAAAAGAAGCCTCAGTCCCTGTTTCTGAAAGATTATGATCAGTCCCAGGTTTGAAGTGCTCTATTGAGTTAGTAGGTATCCTGAATAGAAAATGAAACTTGTTTGCAGATAACTTCACATCGTGAAATTGTAATGTTTCACACAATCAGGTTGTGTAGTAAGCTTTTACTGTAGTTAAACTGATACCTACTAAAACCTATCTTTTACGTACTATAATACATAAGCATTAAATTCGCTTGCTTACTTTTAGCAAAAGAGGCGCCAAGAAATTGAACAAAAACTTGAAGTTCAGGCAGAAGAAGAGAGAAAGCAGGTTGAAAATGAGAGGAGAGAGCTATTTGAAGAGAGGCGTGCTAAACAGACAGAGCTGCGGCTTTTGGAGCAGAAGGTTGAGCTTGCACAACTGGTGAGTAGTATTTTGGACTTTGAAGATTGGTGACTATGGGCCAGGGATATAGCTCAGCGGCACAAGCGCCTGCCTAGCAAGTGCAAGGTCCTGAGTTCAATTCCCGGTACCAAAAAAAAAAAAAAAAGATTGATGACCCTTTGTGTTCACAAAAGCACTGACCTTATGCCTTTTCTTCAGCAAGAAGAATGGAATGAGCATAATGCTAAGATAATTAAATATATAAGAACTAAGACAAAGCCCCATTTGTTTTATATTCCTGGAAGAATGTGTCCAGCTACTCAAAAACTAATAGAAGAGTCACAGAGAAAGATGAATGGTAAGTACATAAAGAAGTCCGTTGCATTTCTTTGTGAGTAACAGAAGACGTTTAGAAGTATCTGTATTTGTGTCAGATTTCTTCTTTATGCTTGCTAGTGGTCACATAAAAATTCCAGTTACATGGATAGCATTTGTATAGCTCGTGCAGGGTGCTCATGGGCAAGGATAGACATTGCTTGGGTGATTTTTTTTTTTTTTTCCCCCCTTGGGATTAGAACATTATTGCATGATACTAAAAGCTGATTTCTGCTTTTAAAAAAGCTTTGTTAATTTTCTTCGAGCATAAAGATAAGTAACAAAAGGTTGATCTCTTTTTTAATCAATTAAAGGTGGTCCAGTTTTCCCTAGTTGGTTAGTATATAAGTTCCTAGAGCTTCTTTGTTACCATGTATCAATTTGCACATACTTGTTACAATCAGTGTTTTCTCTTTACAAAGACATTTATCTGAAGCTAATGACAACTTGTGACGTGGTGCAAAATTATGACTGAGTTTTCTTGGTTACACATGTACATTTTTATTCTTTAGCTTTATTTGAAGGTAGACGCATCGAATTTGCAGAACAAATAAATAAAATGGAGGCTAGGCCTAGAAGACAAGCAATGAAGGAAAAAGAGCATCAGGTGGTACGTCATGAAGAACAGAAGGCGGAGCAGGAAGAGGGTAAGGTGGCTCAG